TAACCTGGAAAAAATGTAAATATTCGCAGCTAACATTTCATAGGTACTTATTTTCCAAACACTCTGCTAAGTACTTTTCATGTATTTGGTAGATCTTCACAACAGCCCGTATGAAGTCGGAATGATTATTATCATCTTCATTTTACAGATGAGAAAACCGAGAGACAGAGAGCATAATTATAGCCATGGACTCTGTGCATCAGTCTTTGTGCACAAGTCTTTTCTGACTTGGCTCTGAATTCCTTACCTAAATGCCCTTTAGTTCCGTAAGCTACATTACACAGGGTGGGTGTTAGAAAAGCCACATTCAACCCAGGAGCGGAAATTGGATTCCAGAAATTCATTTAGGTCGATGGTAAAAATGAAAGCTTAACTATCAAAACACGTGGAAATTCGGAGGCAGTCTGTGTGCTTCCCACTGGCCTGGGCCACTCGGGATTGGCCAAGGCGAGGGGTCCCTTTTGTCCATTTCGAATACCCCTCTGATGGCCTAAACGGGACAGGGCTCAGTTGAAGTCCACCCTGGGGGAGGGGCTTGATCTAAATACAGCTGTGCACAAGGACACCCTAAGCTTTGACAAAAGGGACAGATAATGATCACCCACCCACTTACGTTCCTAAAAAGATTATAAAGAAAAGAAAACGGTGTGAAACACCCAAGTTTAAACAGCGTCAAGTGCTATACAATAAGCATCAGGTAATACAAGAACAGCTGTGAGACCAAATATAAACCTGCTGCATTTGCTAAAAGACCGTACTAAAGGCAGATGATACTGGGATGGAAACTTGGGACTTAGCAGCGGGCTTTCCACCTCACCAAAGGCCACACAGACTCAGTGACTCAGTTTCCCTTCCAGTGCTTAGTGGGATCATATCCCTGTAGACCAATGCCTCTGGGATCTCTGCAGACTGATGCCTCCCTAGCCTCACACCATACATATAGTCGTGCACCACACGATGATGGCTTGGTCAACAAAGGACTGCATATACAATGGTGGTCCTGTTGGAATATAATGGGATATTTTTACTGTGCCTTTTCCCTGTCTAAATATATTCATATTTAGATACACAAATACTTGCCATTACGTTCCAACTGCCTACAGTATGCAATGCTGTAACATACATGTTGCACCAGTCTGTAGCCTAGGATCAGCGAATAGGCTATATTCCACATGCACTAGGTATACAGTGGGCCAGACCATCTAGGTTTGTGTGGGTACATTCTTCGAGGTTTGCACATTGACAAAATCACCTAGTCACGCATTTCTCAGAACACAACCCCACTGTTAAGCAATGCATGACGGTACTTATTGAAAAAAAATGCTTACACAGTACTTACTACACTCTAGGCCAGGGGTCCTCAAATTTTTTAAATAGGGGGCCAGTTCGCTGTCCCTCAGACTGCTGGAGAGTACCACCACTGTGGGCCCAGGATGGGTCGGCTGCTAAGCAGGACAGGCAGCGGCGGCAAAAACACCTGGCGGGCTGGATAAATGTCCTCAGCGGGCCACATGTGGCCTGCGGGCCGTAGTTTGAGGACACCGGCCTAGGCCCTATGCCAAGCACCTTACAAATACTAACTTATTCAATTAACAAGACCACACTAGAAGGTAGGCGCTAGTGCTATCATCATTCCCATTTCAGAGATGCAGAAGCGGGAAGAGAAGTAATTTGCCCAAGGTCACGACACCAGTTAGTGGGGACTGAACCCGGACCGGCTCTCACTGCCCATCCTTATCCCACGTGGTGTGTAAAGAGGGTTTGAGAGGCAGGGGCGTGGAAATCCAGTCGGTGAGGTTTATCTCAGTTTTCACGTACTCCTCAAGTGTCACCAGAGACTGGACAAGTTTCTAAACAAAATACCAACATCTTGATGGTCCCTGGTATGAAAATAATGAAATTTAACTCTGTATTACATAAACATTATAGTTTTGGAGTCTTTAAGAAAACGTATATTCACACACACGTGTTCAAATATATGTAAGCATCATCCATACATACGTAATTTATAGTCATATATAAATCATAAAACAAACTCTGAAGAACTTGTGCATGAGCAGAGAAACAGAAACAAAACCCAAGACCCCGTGGATAGCTTACAACTCTCTTTTCTCGGACTGGCTGAACGAACCATCGTTTACAAATCCTTCTGTGAGTGGGATGACAGCCCCGATAATGAGGGAAAGAGGGGACCATGGCATAATAGTTAATAATTATTAACTATTATTATAAAATATTAACTATGTTATTAAATATGTTAATTATTAAATATTAACCATGGCATCATTAATAGTTATCATATAATAAAAACTAACTGATAACGTATTTTTACTAGTGAATCACCACTTGTATCTTGATAAAATTAATTCAATTAGAAAAGAGTTGCGGTGCTATTTGAGGCCCATAAAGCCCTGTGACCCCGTAAGCCTTTCCTGAAAGAAGATGCAGGCCAGCAAGGCGGAGCTAGGCTCAGAGTCTACAGGTATCCTAGCAGGAAAGATGAACGTTAGAAATGCGATCCGATTTACAACCTAAAGGAGCGTTAATACAGTTCTGTGTATTTTACAGGCATCGTATATTCTAGAATCAGCAGCTGCCAGCTGCTGACTGTTAACAAGTCAGAGTCCTACAGATTTCAGATTCAGCGCTGGCTAGAAAAGTGCACCCCTTCCAAAAGAGATGGCGAAGCTACTTTTGATGTCACGGGGTCCTCAAGCTTGAAGAACTGAGGTCAGAAACGTCCAGGCAGCCTGGTGGAAACGGCTGTGTGTTTAGCAGGCGTCCTCAAACTACGGCCCGAGGGCCACATGCGGGCCACCCAGCACATCTATCCGGCCGACGGGTGTCTTTGCCACCACCACTGCCTGTCCTGCTTAGCAGCCGACGCGCCCCAGCCCACAGTGCGCACTCTCCAGCGATCCGAGGGACAGCGAGCTGGCCCCCTGTTTACAAAGTTTGAGGACCCTTGGTTTACAGTCACAGGCAGGAAAAGGGCGTCCACTATGCAAACGAGCGTGTCTGTGGGTTGCCTGCTGTTTGTCCGTCCTGCAGACACCCCGCACGCCCCGTGGAGACGGGTTCTGCCTTCCCCGAACTTGAGGCTTGGTCGGGAAGACGCACGGTCCAAGGATCCAGGCAGTGAGAGCGCGATTAGAAAGCGAGACCCAGGATCTGACGCCAGCAGGTCTTTGAGAGCGTGTCCGTGAGGAAGCCGGGCCAGCCCGCAGGCGGGGGCGAGGGCAGGCTGGGGTGGGAGTTGTAAGCAGCGAAGGAGGAGTACCCCATGCAGAAGATAACGAATAGACACAACACAACACAACACAACACAGTAAAGAAGAATGGCGCGCCAGGAGTTCTGTGGTTCGAGAGTTCGGTGCACTCAGGATGCGACAGATAAATGCGGGCGGCGCCCCGGAAGGCAAGGCAGGGTGGCTGTCAGGGAGCTGGAACGGACGGACAGCCAGTCCGAAGACTTAGGCAAGCACAAAGCACACGGGTTCCTCGTAGGCTCCATTAGGCGTGGGGGGTCATCGTCACACCCACGGGAGGGCGCAGTGGCGGAAGGCCGAGGTTGACCACATTGCCAGGAACCAGGCTCTGCAAAGCCATGGGAGCTGGCCGTTCCATTTCAACAGCCTCCTGGAAGTCCTGTGAAACCCAGACACGCCCGAGCACACGCCCGGGCGGCTCCGGGTCATGGTAAGCGTCATGCACGCAACGAGACCAAGGCGGTTTCCTGGGGCTTTCCCGTCGTGACTGTCCACCTCCCCACACGCCCGGGCGGTCGCCGTCTCAAACTTACAGCCAAGGGAATGATTTGACGCATTGGTTAACAGTCGGCAAGCGATTCCTGGATCCAACGATTTCCTGAGAAAGCCAAAGGAGACAGGGACATCTCCGGGGACGCCACCCACGCTGCAAATAATAGTGTTAGCAGGAGGTTTGCATCTGATTAGTGAGCTGTCCATGTAAGGAGAGTGGGCAAGGCAGCAGCTCTAGATCGCAGTCAGTTGTCATTTGTGTTTTGGAAAACAGCACTGAGCAAGAAGTCCTCTTAGTTTTCATGGAAACTCCACTCACTCCTTGGTACGGATGGTGAAGGCGGTGTACCTTTTTTTAAAAAAAGAAAAAAACCCAGCTGGGTGCAGCGGCTCACGCCTGTAATCCTAGCTCTCTGGGAGGCCGAGGCAGGAGGATCACTCGAGGTCAGGAGTTCAAAACCAGCCTGAGCAAGAGCGAGACCCCCTCTCTACTATAAACACGAAGAAATTAATTGGCCAACTAAAATATAAATATATATACACACACACACATAAAAAATTAGCTGGGCATGGTGGTGCACGCCTGTAGTCCCAGCTACTTGGGAGGCCTAGGTGGGAGGATCGCTCAAGGTCAGGAATTTGAGACCAGCCTGAGCAAGAGCTAGACCCCGTCTCTACTAAAAATAGAAAGAAATTAATTGGCCAACTAAAAAAAAAATTATATATATATATATAATTAGCCGGGCTTGGTGGCACATGCCTGTAGTCCCAGCTACTTGGGAGGCCGAGGCAGGAGGATCGCTCAAGGTCAGGAGTCCGAAACCAGCCTGAGCAAGAGCGAGACCCCCATCTCTACTAAAAATAGAAATTAATCGGCCAACTAAAAAAAATTTTATATATATATATAAATTAGTTGGGCATGGTGGCGCATGCCTGCAGTCCCAGCTACTCGGGAGGCTGAGGCAGGAGGATCTCTTGAGGCCAGGAGTTGGAGGTTGCTGTGAGCTAGGCTGACTCTGTCTCAAAAAAATATTTAAAAAACAACAACAACAGATGCACCAATCTCCAGTGAGCGTGCAGAGTCTCACTGCCTCCTTTCTTCCCTTGATCAGCATGGCCCGGAGAGGCGGCTTTGTTTTCTCTCCTAGCCCCGTGGCCGCCCCCGACGCCGCTCTGCGCGCTTGGCCCCGCTTGCGGCCGCCGTGTGAGTAACGGTGCCTTGTGTGTTGTGTCCTGCAGCTCTACATACAAACCACCACGCTCACCGTCTCCATGAACCTGAGCGCGTCCGTGGCGCTCGGCATGCTGTACATGCCGAAGGTGTACGTCATCATCTTCCACCCCGAGCTCAACGTCCAGAAGCGGAAGCGCAGCTTCAAGGCCGTGGTCACGGCCGCCACCATGTCGTCCCGGCTGTCGCACAAACCCAGTGACAGGCCCAACGGCGAGGCCAAGACAGAGCTCTGCGAGAACGTGGATCCCAACAGTGAGTGGCCCTTCAAACTTCTTTCCATCCTCCCATGGTGTGCCAGGAAGCTCTAGGAAATGGGCTGTGTGTGTGTGTGTGTGTGTGTGTGTGTGTGCGCGCTGCGCGCTTTTTGGGGAAGAGATCAGGACCATTTTTATGCCTAGGGACCAACAGCATTGCCCTGGAGAATTGCTGACTACTTCTGCTTTTTTTTTTTTTTTTGAGTTTGACTCATTCCTGCCACCCACTGTCTTTCCGCTCTGTTAGAGGCTTTCAGAGGTTTTGCTTCAGAAGCATGAGGTCTCTCTCCCTTCCCTTGCTTCTTGTGCTTGGTACTGATCTCTCTGATGGATATCAACACCCTGATTGGGTTTGCAAGCCGCCTTTCTTGCATGCCTTCCTGCTAGGGAAATGACTTCCTATTAGGGAAAGTTCCATACCTAAAGGAGCTGTAAGAGTGGGAATAAAATCAGAATATTTAAGAATTTCGGGGCAGGGCACGGTGGCTCGGGCCTGTCATCCCAGCACTCTGGGAGGCCGAGGTGGGGAGGATCGCTCGAGGTGAGGAGTTCGAGACCAGCCTGAGCAAGAGCGAGACCCCATCTCTACTGTCTACTATAAATAGAAAGAAATTAATTGGCCAACTAAAAAAAATATATATAAAATGAGCCAGGCGTGGTGGCTAATGCCTGTAGTCCCAGCTACAACGGAGGCTGAGGCAGGAGGATCGCCTGAGCCCAGGAGTTGGAGGTTGCTGTGAGCTAGGCTGACCCCATGGCACTCACTCTAGCCTGGGCGACAGAGTGAGGCTCTGTCTGAATAAAAAAAAAAAAAAGAATTTTGGAAGCATAACTCCTTTCCACTGGCATATGAATATGGAGAAAGTTATATATATATACACACACACACATATATATATAATTTTTTTCTTTTTTTACTAAGTCAGTCTTCTAGAAACAAAGTCACATAAGATATTGGATAAAGTTGTCAAACTTTCATCCAAGTGTATAGGGCCAGACATCACCTGCTAAGAGCATCACCGCATGGGAAAAAGGCCAACCACGTCACGCAGGGGAGTTTATTCTGTGGAAGACTAGACTTTAGGGATGGGATTAAGGAAGAAACAGGAGATTCGAGATGCCGCGTGGCATCTCTGCAGGGCCCTGGAGCCTTCAGTCACGCCTGCAAAGCACCCCAGATAAAACAGCCATGGGGCTGGCATCTTGCAAAAATGACACAAGACCAGCTCAGAGATTACACGCATAGAATTCCCAATTGCTAATTTTACTACAAATACAGTGGTAAGAGCATGTTTCAGATTTTAAAAAATACTAATTGTATTTTACAATTTACAATCTAATCTTTACAAAAATTGTAAATTTTACAATTTACAATCTAGGAATATTTTTGGCCAGTTGGATTTAAAATGAGATAGATTCGAGTATTTGTGACGCTTCCCGTTCTTAAGGTAGAAGAGATTTCAGGTTAGCTGTCATTGGCCACATGTTACATTTCAGTTATTACAAGCTGATATTTTTGTGAGCAAAGGCTTCACACCAAGCAGAAAGAAGTTTCTATTTTAAATATTCTTGAGGGAATGAAATCCTTTTTGCCCCGCAAGGAAGAGACGGTACCTTTAAAAACAACGCAGCCAAGTGGGCTTGGTCGTGGCAGGTACTGTGGAAAGAGCCGGGATCTTTGCCCACCTGCGTTTATTCATACGCATCACAGAGTGGATTTTGTGAAACGCTTTGAAAATTCATAGACGAGGCAACAAGGCGAATTATCGAGATCACGGGGCTCACTTTGACCTTTCGATAGAGGAGATCTGGGAGGAAGCTAAAGGAAGGAGCAGGACCATGCCTAGAGAAGGGAGAGGCAGAAGGAACAGAAAGGCTCTGGTCCAAGGTTGCTCTCCAGAGCAACGTGCCAAATCGAGAGCAGGGGCGATGCATGCTGAGTTGCTGTGGCGTTCAGGGCTTTGGGTTAACAGACCTGGGTTCAAATCCAGCCCACTCCAATTACCAGAGGCCGTAAGAGTCCCTGAGCTTGTCCAAAACTCAGCCTCTTTATGTATGAAAAGGAGGTGATCATATCTATGTCATAAATGCATCATAAAATATTATGTGCCTAACAAATAGTACATCGATTACATGTCAATTCCCTTCCATTCCTGAAGAGGGACAAAAAGCTTTGCTTAAAAATAGACGTCAGCGTGACGTGTTAAGTAGATGACGATGGTGCAGTAAGAGGCAGATTGAACACCACGAGGGAGATGAAACTGATTCCCGAAAAGTGTCTCGTGAACACATGTATCTTGCATACTTCGACCTGCACTGATAAATATACCTGCGTGTTGATCATTTTGTAGATTTGTATCGTAGGGCCTCTCTCGTCCAACTGGCGCAAGACTCTTACCCTACAGGCATCCAATGACCGTTTTATATTTGTACACACACACAAATTTAACTAGATGCTGCTAAAAATCAGCAAGCAGAAAATGTAGTTGGAAGTCTCCATGTGATGACAAGTAATGACCAGATTAGAAGTTTTGGATTTGGACCATGAACATTAACTTTTCAAAAAAATCTCTACTGTTGCTCATTTTTAATAATTAGGTCCAATCCTTGTTTGGGCTTTTTAGGGTACAACGGTGGTTGTTGAAATGCTAGCACTCACACAAATACTAATACTAGCCTCAGGTACTTTTTGAAATAGGCACCGTGCAGAACCTTTATGTGGAAGACCTTGCTCGTTTGCTCCGAGTCTGCAGAGTGGGCATCATGACGCTCATGTCACTGAAGAACCCAGGCCTCACATGATTAAGTGACATTTCCAACGTCACACATCTGAGTTGGCAGTAAAGGCTGGACTAGAACCCGGGTCTGACTGCTAAACCCACGCTTGCTCCTCTTTCCTCCCCGGCTTCTCAGAAGGTTGAGTGCCGTGTCAAAATTCCAACGCAACAAACCACCCTTGGGCTTCCCCGTTTGATAATATACAATTTGTGTATACAAAATGGAATGATGTTTGGTGGGAGATTGTTTAGCCAAACACGCTGTGAATTGTATTATTGCCTGCTGTGTTGTCCACAAAGACAAGAGGGATTAATCTGAGCTCAAAGAAGGCTGCCCAGGTAGAGGACTCATCTTATTGGCTCAAAAATTGTGTTGTCTATTTTAACAACCACGGCAGCGATCCCATTTGGAACTCATTTGATGTATTTCCTTGAAGAAGTTGTGTTGGGCTTTTATGGTTGTTGTTCTAGTGAGATATATAGGTTCAGAAAAAAAAGAAAAGAAAAGAAAAAAAAACAGAGCCTTTGTCTTGCAATGAGTCTGAAAGATTTTTAAAAATTGGTTTAGCTCTTTTGGCATTATGTAGATGCTCTCTAAATTGTTATTGAAATCCTGTTGACTTAGATGCTGAACCACAGGAGGAGATTCATGTACCTCCAAACATTGGGGTTTCTGACAGCCCAGCACTCCAAGGCCCCAAAGAGGAATCCAAAGACCTTATCCAAAATCTGTCCACTAGAATTTTCTGGAATGATGGCCATGTCCCATATCTGTCTGTCTAATACAGTAAGCACTATCACACATGGCAGTTGAACAGTTGAAATGTGGCCACTCAACTGATCAGATGCATTTTTTTTATTTTACTTTTTTTTTAAAACAATTTAAATAATTTGAATTTACGTGGACATCTGTGGCTGTGGCTACTGTATTGGGCAGTGCAGCTGCAGACAGTGGCCAAGGATTTTATTGGAGGACACTCAGTCCGAGTCAACACTGCATGTAGCTCCCAGAGTTTTAGTGCTGACACTGATCTGGAAGCAAGTCAGCTTAAAGGAATGCATGTTTGGGATGAGACAGACATACAGACAAGTCAGTCACTGAACGATCCCAAAAGGGAACCGCTATGATGGGAGGAAAACCAGTCCTCTGCGATCACGAGCAATCGTGAAAAATGCAATTAATAATAAAAACAGACATGACTATTCTGTGCTGGGGATAGTACAGAATAGGATGTACTGTTCCGTTTAATACCATCCTATTCTGTTTAATACCAAATGTAACTCAGATTCTCTCCAATAATCTGAATTTTGGTAACAATGAGATTACTTGCTGAATTTACGCTCTCTGGTTAGAAACGAAAGCACAGACGATGGGTTTCATAAAGGAATGTCTCTCTCCCACGGGCAAATTCTGTGCAGGATTTTTTCTGAAGAAGGGTATCTGAGAGGAAGCTCAGTTCACAGCATGAGCTGCAAAGTGAATAGTGGAAGGGAAATATCCTTTATGCATTGTTGCTCTGAACACTTAGTCCCGGTGTATTTCGATCTTCAGCATTGCCGTGTTAACAGCTCTGCTCGGTCACTGCAACTTGCCACCTGCCGCATGCAGCTTCTGCTCACCTGGCTCCTCGCTGCAGCTACCTGTGTCTCCATGAAAATGGATTTGCTTGTTGGCTTACTAGAGACAGACGTTAAAATGGCCCCAACCCTGCCTTATTTTTTTTTCCTTGAGAAGCTCAATTCTCCTCTTAGGTTGCTTCATTAACAAAAACTTCATTGTTTGAAATAAACTCTTCTTCCATAAGGGATACATAAAAAAAGTAAACCTGAAAGTTTTAATGCATCTGTGCACTGGGTATTTAAACATTTAGATATTCGGAGTTCAGCCGAGGCTTGCTGGTTTCTGCATTCAGATTGAAAATAGCAAGCTCAGGCTGGGCGGTGCGGTGGCTCACGCCTATAATCCCAGCACTCTGGGAGGCCAAGGTGGGCGGATGGCTCAAGGTGGGGAGTTCGAAACCAGCCTGAGCAAGAGCAAGACCCTGTCTCTACTAAAAATAGAAATTAATTGGCAAGGTAAAATATATAGAGAAAAAATTAGCTGGGCATGGTGGCGCATGCCTGTAGTCCCAGCTACTCGGGAGGCTGAGGCAGGAGGATCGCTTGAGCCCAGGAGTTGAAGGTTGCTGTGAGCGAGGCTGATGCCACCACACTCTAGCCAGGCAATAAAGTGAGACTCTGTCTTAAAAAAAAAAAAAGGAAAGAAAAGAAAATAGCAAGCTCAGAGCACGTAGTGGTGTAGGCTCAGTGACTTAACTGAATTTTTATTTATATAAATAAGACATCTGTTGTTAGAGCTTCAAAAGAGCCTGCCCTCATTTGGATACCTTTAGGTCAGGCCAAGATGGTATCTTGTCAACATCTCCTTCCCGAGAAGAAGGGTACCTCAAAAACACTTTAGTTCTCCCGCTTGTACCCTGAATGTGGCAGGTTTCCCTGCACTTTCTACAGCTCACTTGGTAGGTGTATGTCCATGGCAAGCCCAAAGGTGCCAGGTAAACAGGAGGCCACGTTTGTGCTTGGGCTGTGGCTGCTTATCAATGGCCGTGATGGTCCTTTCCAAGTTGGATGGATGATATTACATCCACGGCTTTATGGGGATGGGAGGGTAAGGACTGCTGCCTTCTTCACCTGGACGGACGGGTCACACACAGCCACAAGGTACCTTGTGAAGAACCCTCTGGTCTCACGCTTTCCTTGGGAAAGGGTGGCAGGGTAGTGATGAGGGACCCTAAGCTACCTTGGTTCTAAACAACCATCCATTTTCTGAGCCGACGCCCCTCCCAGGCAGTGCAGAGAAACGCCTCGCGTCTGTCGCCTACGGAGAGTTTCACTCTGGCGGGGCAGGACCAGCCAGCTAGCGATGGCAGGCAGGTGGACAGAGAGGGACACACCCCTTCCTTCTTGGAGTGGGGACGTATAACCGGATAAACTGATCCTGGGTTAGAAGCTGGACATATACTGCATAAAAGAATGGCTTAAGCCAGTGAATATTGTATGGTGTGAAGCACATGTGAGAAGAAAATAATAATGGATACCCAAAATATAAAATAAGGTATTTTAAACAGAAGTTTGTATTCTGCTGCTATTTTTCTTTTACTACCATTTTTGCATCTACTGTAAGGAAACGGTATAAATAAGAACTTTTTTCTTCAAACTTTTTAAATGGGGCCAAAAAAACGAAAGAATAAAGAAGGAAAAAATAAATATAGAAAAAAACCCAACTTTTTTCTGTTCTCAAAGAAATAGATGATTGCATAAAATAGAACTGCCAATGTAAGGGATTATTTAACAGAAAAAAACAAAAAAGGTCTCAGACTACTAGGAAATGGATGTGGGCACCAAACCCTACATAAAAAAAAAAAAAAAAAAAAAAAAAAGATGCCTAGAAAGTTCCGGAACACACTCCTGTGCTGTGTTACTTTGTTATGGTTCTTGTTTTGCTTTTGCTTCTTCATCTGTTTGGAGCTCTCCCATTCTCAACATCGCGGTACTTGTTTCACGCTCTGGACTAACCGCACGGCTGGTCAGCATGGCTGGACTGGGCTGAGAAAGCAGGGATGGCCACAGGAGGAAATAATGTTCTGACCCGATAGGCAAGCTGGTCGTGGGGCTGGTTCCCTCAGGTGCTCCAACTCAAACGCAGGTAAAACCCAACTCACTGCGTCAACCCAGGAGGCCCCAGGGCTCCCATGTTGGGAGGTACCTGAACTGTGGTGAACTGGCCTACCAAAGGCGGGCATAGTGTCTGTGGTCTCTGCAGCAGCCTTTTCTCCAAAAGGAAAAAAAAATAGTAACAATAATAATGATGAAAAGGAATATTGTGTGCACATTTTATACATACCTATATATTTACTTTTCCTGTAGACTGTATACCACCAGTAAGAAAGAGTGTACAAAAGTCTGTTACTTGGTACACTATCCCACCAACAGTATAGCTTTTGACTGCTTTCTAAAAGGTAAGAAAACAATCTAATTCTTATTTGTTTGTGTGTTCTTGTCTGCGCTGAGAGTTGGAAATGTTTCCAGGAAAACTGTGCATGACTGATGACCTATCAATCTATCTGTACGAAGAAATGCATTTTCAGAGATGAACTACTAATCTGATAAGCTTAGTGCCGGGAACCTGCCATGGGTCACATTCTTTTCTGGAGTGTATGTTTATGAACGTGTGCACGTGTGCACACTTGTCGCTCTTGAACGACCAGCCAATGTTGCAGAGAATTGGTGCTGGTCACCCTACCACTGGTGAGGAACTCTTTTTCAGTGTGTGTTTTCCCGCTCTGGTTTTGGAAGGCCATGTGGGAAACTTAAGAGGGTTTTTTTACAAGCCTAGTAAAAATGTTTTGTTCTGGTTTATTTTTATGAAACATGTTCCAAGAAATGTCCACATTCCCAGACATGTATCCATTCAAAAACAAATCATTGGCCTTATCTTAAACCTAAGATTGACTTGGTTCCCCCTCTTCGCAACAGATAAATAGGACAAAAGTTTACCGCCTGGGTTTGATGATGTGTTGGTGAGGATGGGAACATTGAGAAACACTGAACTGACTTCAGTCACTGCGTGGAAGCAGAGAAAGGGTCTAATATCTAAAGATGAGTTTCAACCTGAGTTGAACCCAGGAAATACCAATACACACCAAGGGTATCCACACAAACAGCTTAGGGAAAGTGATGGATGGTGTGCTGTGTGGACTGGCCACATGAACGGGCTGGCCTACAAATAATCAAGCCACATCTTGGTGCTGATATGTTACTTTGAGCTCCCACCAAAGAATACATGCTCTGAAAGAATATTATCATGTCCCTGCTTCGGCCTACACAACATTCTATTTATGATACAGTGCAGCGCAAGGCTGGCTTTGGCCGGCATCCTCGGCGGGCTGGAGCTAAGGCTTTCTAAACCGTGGCAAAATGAAAAGTAGAGAACATGGAAAAAGTCATTACAGTCACGTGGTGGCTTTGAATAAAAGCTGAACTCCTATTGTGCTTACAAAATAGAGAGACCTCTCTCTGGGGACATTCCAAGATACTAAGCAGTGAGTTCATGCCATGGGAAGAGAAATGTATTGCTTAATATCGTGGGCTGGTCTTTCTCTCCCCTCCGCCACTATCATGGGACCTCTCATCAGATCGTTGCTGTTTCTTCCCATCTTTGTTTTGGTAATGGTATTCTGAATGCAAATAATATCTTGTTCTCTCTCTCTCTCTCTCTTTTCATTTATCCATTTAGCACTGTAAGACAAGACAAGAGTACTTTCAAAGAGTAATTACATTTCCTGTTGATTTCAGATGGAGGCCAGCAACCCAGTCTTTAATTTAGGATGTATTGTTCACACAGTCACTTCCCTTTCCCATATCAACATGATCTGTCCTACTTTTTAAATAGGGCATTATTTTCTACCAGTGAATATATAACTGTATTCCAGTGAGACTTCAAGTTTTTTGCAGTACAAGTGCTTGTCAAAACACTGCAGCTCATCACTTTAATAATCTTTTTACATGAGGCTGCCTGAGAATAAATGAGAAGGAATTTTCCCTGGGTAAAAAAAAAAATGGTAGATTTAATCTCAATCCATTAAAAATTCTCTTTTGCTCCTTTCTAAGTTGATGCCTTTTGGTTTAAAGGGAGTCAAATGAAAATGTGAAAATATTTTTAGTCAATCTTAGAGTTAAAAAGTACTTTCAGAAGGATGTTCTGTTTAGGAAAAAATTCAAACTTTTTGCTAAAATTATCTTGCCTCAAAGATTTTGAGTAGACAAATTCCAAGAGAGCAAACAGTAAAGGCTTAATATGGGAGGTGGGAAAATATTGCTTAATAATGTGGACTTGTCTTTTTTTTTTCCTATGCCGATATCATGGGACTTTTATCAATTCATGTTCTGTGTCTTCCCATCTTTGTTTCTGTAATGGCCTTCTGCATGCAAACAATATTTGTATTGGGTCTCCTTTTCTGAGCAACTTAAATAAGGCTTTAAAAGCTAATAAATAGCCATCCTACATAACTACTTATAAATGATCAGGAATGGAAGTCGGTTCAATTGTGTTCATTCAAAGAACATGTCATTCACATGGTGCAGGTCTCCAGCGAGGCTGGCGAATTTGGGAGATCTGTGAAAGGGCTGCTTAGTGTTGTTTGTTCAGATCCGCTGCTATGTGATTGCTTAGGAAGGCATAATAGTAAAGAGAAAACGGTTAACTTTTGTACTACCGTGCTATTGAAACCTCAGTTCCAGCCACCACGTCCCGACAAAGGCACAGTAACATACGACAAATCCAACAATTGCTTGCAGGGAGTTGAAGGAACCGGGGTTCAAATTCAGACAGAACGAAACCTAACCTGGTTTGAAAACAGTTTCCCCAGAATACTTGTGTTTAAAAGCATTCTCGTGTGAAAAACACCGCAGGCCAGATATCAGCAGAATCAATGATCCCTGCATCTTTTATCAGAATGTTTATACATTTTAAGATTCTGCAAAGTGCTGTCTAATCTAACGGACATTTATTTAAAAGTGTGACTCAGCAAAAAGAAAAATGAAGCGCGCTTGCTTCACCACCAGGTGAGGAAACACAATTTGTTAGGAGGTCAGTTTTCATACCGCAGGCTGGTGTTCTGGTTAAGAAATTATAAAAGCCTTGCAAGTATGGATACAGAGAAGCCCCGAGTCATGTTTTTATAAGGTTTCGTTCTCATGAACATGCTATTATTGACACCTCACTCATTTATTAAGTGGTATTTAAAAATTAATAATCTCTTGTTTCTTGTAGTCACTATGATGGGATTATTTAGAAATGTAGCTTTTTGCAACAGTGCAATGCAAGTTTTTGTATCGCGTTCAGACTCTCCGTCTGTTAACATTCAGTGTGATATGTCTGCTCTAACCGCAAACCACATCCTGCTTTAAAATCCGCTTTGAAACACTCTATACATACAGCCTAGCCAAGACTATTTGTTATCTGACCTTTGACATTGAACCGCCTTGGAACGAACGTAGCTATAAATCTTTTTGGCGCATTTCTGTCTGCCCAAGAGCTCTGTGAAGCACTTCTCTCATCAAGCATCTCCCATCAAGGTTTGATATCCCAGCCTAACTTCAAAAACCCAGTTAAATATTTGCCATCTGTGTTCTGCAACTTGAGTTCAACTTAGAGAACGGGATGAGAGCTCACGTGGCTAGTATTTCTAGAAACTTCCATACGCATCACGGACACTGTGTCAAGTTTTTACATTTAAGTATTGTATGTAACTGCCCGGTCTGGGTCGAGATGTATGAAACTGTAAGACTGTTCTGAAGTTGGGTCGATCAAAGACATGTTTGCTGAGCGCCCCTGCTCTGGGTCAGCCCTGAACTGATTAGAAATGGGAGGCAACCATGGATGATGGCTCCAGGGAGCACAGATTGGATGGAAGACGCCAAGGTGAGCAGTTTTGATTCAGGCTGCGTTTGGAGAGCATTGCCCGGGAGGGCTCGTGTGAGCTGGTCTTAAGAGATGAAGGACTGCAGGCCGCCACACAAGGGAAAGCACTGGAGGCAGGGAGAAGTATGCAAAAAAAGCGCTCGGTACGCGGGAGGACGTGGTATGTTCTGGGACCAGATGCGGTGCTACGAGGCTGGCGCACTGGGTTTGTGGGAGACAGCTTCAGGAGGCAAAGCGCAGGAAGCAGCCCGAGGGTGGAGGGCTGGGTCTCTTTTATCTCTGTGCCTTTAGACCCAGGGCTGGAAAACACTAGGCTCTCAGAAAACACGGGTGGGATGTGGAGAGCATTACATCTCCCATGCCAAAGACACCTAGTCTTACCCTAGAACCTGATAGGTACAGTGAACATTTATAAGTGAATAATTATTTATGAATAATAAGAAACTAGCCAGTGTCCAACCTCAGGAGGTAGAGTTATACACTTTCAGATAAAGTTTCTAAGTTTGCAAAGACTGCCCTGAAAAGACAGTTTTTTTTTACCCTGATGTCACGGGTTCTAAAGAAATTTGTTAAAGTGTTCATGTGTAGCTCCTAAAACTGACCTCAACCTCCAGACTTGGGTGATTGACATCTCTTTTGAGACACTACACCCACATATAAAACCAAAGTTTATGCCTGTTTCTTTTCTTTTGTGGACTACATATATCCATACTATTTATTTTTCTTTCAAAGGGCACAGAAACTTGAAAGTTTCCCTTGGAAATGGATCCTAAGCACTTGGTTTAAATAGTTCTGATTTTGGTAAAAACATAATCTTAAATTGGTGATTTTCTAATTATTGAGCTCATTTTCTTAGAGGCTGCCATGAAGGACAGATTTTTGTCTTTTAGGCTTCCAAGTATCATTTGTATGTATTTTTTTTTAAGTGTGTGTCCTGAAGCAGAGTCAGTTAATCTCTGAAACCTCCCCTCCCCCATCACTGTGAACGAGCGTCTTCTCAGTATCCACCCGACGGTGGCTCTTGTTTCCGCCTCCTAAAGACGTATCTCAACTTTGCAGATATTTGCCCCCTTTGGCTGTACAGTGGAACTTGGATACATTTTCAATTAACTTTCTCTAGGAATCAAAGGTAATCATTATTTCTCTTTATGATCTACACGCCTTTTCTCATTATTTCTTCCTTTTCAAGCCGAAGATTAGTTTTGAATTCCCTTTCTCTCTCTGCCCTCTTTCAGAGTAAGCTCTGAGGACCCTCAGCTTGTCCGAGGAGGGTTGAGAAAACACCTCCAATGCTTGCTCTGCGCGGGCTGACCCCAACGCTTTTAGAAGAATGTGGCATGAATCAGCGACCCCACTTCCTGTGAGTGTTGGTCCAAGTATTGGTTCTGACATTGCATGCGCTATTATCCTTTTCTCTGGCCAGGAACCAGGAAAACTGGCCTGGGATTCATTCCTCCCTCGGTTCTGATATTGGGGTAGCGTAGCTTCAGCACCTAATGAATCCGTGTGTCCTGTCCTACCCGATCCTCAGTTTCCTCTTGTGGAAGACGGAAACGGGCTTATCTTCATGGGATGCCTTGGGTGTGGCATGGAATTCTGAAAGCCCTCCTTTGTAAGGTCAATGCATATGGCAGGCTACGTAAGGTAACCTTGTTGGTCTCTGCCCATCTCTCTCTGTTTCTTGTTAATTGGCTTTTCTTTCTCCCTTTGGTTGTGGTTACATTTTTTTTTGTCCATTATAAACTACCGTGTTTCCCTGAAAATAAGACCTACCCATCAAACAAGCCCTGGCAGGATGTCTAAGCACGTGCGCAATAGAAGCCCCACCCCAAAAATCAGCCCTAGTGACGGGCGTGGCTGCGCAGCGTCTGCACAACCCGTGCGTGTCGTCGCCGAGCGGGAAAGAACACGAGCAGCCCTTCTCCTCCGCCCGTGACAGCTCTAGTGCTCCACAGGAGAGATCGGGGCGGTGGCTCTAAAGGAAACAGAGTCGCAAGACATTCAGGATGGGATTCGGGGTCTGGAGAGTGAGGATGATGTTCCAGAAGAAGACAACTTCGCTATATTTGAATAGGTGTAGATTGCTGTGCTGTACTTAAAAAAAAAATAACATCCCCTGAAAATAAGCCCTAGGGTGTCTTCTTGAGGAAAAATAAATATAAGACTCTGTCTTATTTTTGAAGAAACATGGTATCAGGGTTTGAAGGCATGATATCTAGAACTCCAGTGAAGTCGGGCAGCCTTTTCTCTAGGGATAAAATGAGCTGTATTTTTGAGGCGAGTCACTATGGTCTTTATCGATGGGTCTTAAAGAGTCTTTTGCCGTGGTGCAATTGACAGAGAAAGACAGCCGTCACTCGGCAAGGCTGCTCTGGGAGACACGGGCTCATGCCACCTGCCGTATGAACCACTCCGTGCGAGTGACTGCCACAGGCAGCTCCAGGCGTGCTGGCAAGCCGAAGACCATTTTGAGTGCAAATGATAGCTGCGGTACATCTTGAATGATACAGACTGATGACTGAGGGAAACAGAACCCCTTCATCTTAGCCTGTGAAAACACATTTGGTTTCTTTTTGAGGCCTCAGAATCAATTAGCAAAAACTCTCCAAGATCTTCCTCGATCCATGTGTGATAAATGAACACCAGCCTTCAAAGTATCAAATACGGGCCTGCCCTGGCTGGCCAGGCTCATTCATCTGAATCTTCGAAGAGCCTATCACAGGGTCCTTTGAAGCAATTATAATTCTGATTCTGACGACGGCCAAAATTCCAATCAGTAATCCCTACGGCTGCAGTTTACTGAGTGCTCTGCCATCCATGGAGGCAGGTCTTACTGTCCCATTTCACAGATGAGAAAGTAGAGGCTTGGAGCAGGGAAGTCACTCTGTAGAAACACACACCAATGAGTGAGTGGCACAGGGCACACCTGTCACTTGGTCGTAATGGCCTGGGGCCTCTCTAACGAACTTCTCTGAAATGGGATGGCGTAAGGACAAAACGTTTCAGCCTACATCGTGCAGCTAATCTGTGCTCATGGCTCTCGTCACTCGATTCTAGAAGGCCTCGACTTCCTAAGGATTAGACAGGCCCTCCAGCGTTTCCACGGGGTTAGGGGCAGGGGGGAAATAATCTGACTTCAGGCTCACTGTGGGACGGTACGCACCCTCTTTTTTTTTTTTCTTTATGGTATTACAAATTATAAGGCCACTTGGTGTAGTTTTGCTTCCTCTTGGATTCTGATGGTGGTCTGAAGAATTAAAGACTATGCATAGAGTTCCTGTTTCAAAGAGCACGGTGTTTACTCCTTAGCAATTGACTGACAGCGAGCCCATGGGCAAATATATGTAGGGTGTCTACTTGTCATTTTGAACTGAGTGCAGCCGGCTCAGAGTTAAAATCACGAGTCTTCTTTTTTTTTTTTTTTTTTGAGACAGAGTCTCACTCTGTTGCCCAGGCTAGAGTGAGTGCAGTGGCGTCAGCCTAGCTCACAGCAACCTCCAACTTCTGGGCTCAAGTGATCCTCCTGCCTCAGCCTCCAATGTAGCTGGGACTACAGGCATGCGCCACCATGCCCGGCTGAGTTTTTCTATATGTATTAGTTGGCCAATTATTTTCTTTCTATTTATAGTAGAGATAGGCTCTCGCTCTTGCTCAGGCTGGTTTTGGACTCCTGACCTCGAGCGATCCTCCAGCTTCAGCCTCCCAGAGTGCTAGGATGACAGGCGTGAGCCGCCGGGCCCAGCCACCAGTCTTCATGTACTGATGGTTACAGGCAGACTCCGCCTCTGCTAAGGTGATTGACTTTGGCGCGTGAGCAGAGGCCATGAGGCTCAGAAGAGAGGAGGCCGGCCTAAAAAGCGGCAAGCCCCGGCCCTGAACCGTGCAAAGCCCATTCCCACTGCAGCTTTCTCACCCTCTGCTTTGGCCCTAGCGGAGCTCTACAAAGAAACGGACCACCAGGGTCCTCAGCGTTAGGCGAAAATTTGATGAAGCTGCCCTCCCCAGGGTTAGCATAAAAAAAAAAAAAGAAGAAGAAGAAGAAAAGCCAGATTTTTGTGCTAGGAACGGTAATTCCTCTCCCCCCCCCAACTTTTGTCATGTTTGCAAATTTCATTTGCATTTAATTTCCTGTGGTTTGCCAAAGTGCAGACTGAGACTTGAGCTGTTGTTTCCATTCAGGTGAAGAAAGTGCAACTGCGGCTGACCCCCGAGGCTGGCACCTGGTCAAGCAGCTGTCGCAGGCAGGTATCCTTGAGGCTCTGCTCCCCAGAGCACCGGTGGGGTTAAGGAACGAAAGAGACTCTGTCCAGTTTGTTGCGAGCGTAGTCGGGGAGGTCCTCGCCACATACCAGCAAGGTCCTCCTGACACTCCGCAATAATTGGGAAAACGACGCTGGAGATGCCAGGGCGGATGAGAGTCTCACCTAGGAAACTTCCCTTAGGAGAGACATCATCGTTGCCACCAAATGAAGGAGAGACCCCCTGCCCTGATCTGTTGAGATCGGCTGTGGCCTAAGGCAGAGAAATCCAGTCTCTTCCCGGTGCCGGATTCTCGGTCTGTTCTGGGCCAAGTCAGCAGGAAGGGGGGGGGGGTGAGTGTAGGTCCCTGACCCCATCCCGTTTGCAGGAAAAGGAGACGGAACAGGGGGCCCGCATGCGAAATTTGATCATTTCTGCCAGGCAGGGGAGTGCTAGTAACCCTTCTGAAAAGATGGTCTCTCCGTGCCTCAGTTTTCTCATCCGTAAAAACAGAACCCCAGGTGGCCGTTGTGAGAACACACGAGACTCGAACGCTCTTTAGAGCAGGGTTGGCAGGCGCCACTCAGCCGTTAACCATCAGCATTGCTGTCGCCGGACGCTAACTGGGTTTTCTGTTTCTTTTTCCTCTAGGAAAGAATGTTGGCGATTCCCATGTGATACTCTCCTCTTTGATCTCTTGTGCCCATTCTCTTCCTGTGCCACGCACAATAAAGGCTGAGAGTGTCAAGCAATCCACCTGCATCTGACTGTTGTCTTAAAAAAAAAAAAAAACCCTGCAGGATTTTCAGATTGAAATGTCAATAACCCTCTTGTCTTATCTTCAACCTATTTAGTATTGATTATTTTGGGAACCGTAGTGCCTTAAAGCCAAAATCTCACTGCGCTGTCAAAGGAGCTACCTGGGAAAAGCACATTCAAACACGCTCAGCTTCCACTTAATTTCGCGACACACTCAGCTCTCCTGACTGGAGGCATAGACACATTGAACACGTTCACCATCGGGGTAACGTTTGCACTGAACTATTACTACCACCTGTCATTACTCGGACATTGAAGGAAACACCAAGGACCAATTTTAAAAATCCTACGTAGGGCAGGAAATTTGCCAAGAAGAAATCTTCCAAAATACGTTTTCGTTTTATACTTCCACCTAACTTAAATCGTTTATTCCTCTAACCTGGTGTTCAGCAAAAGGTCACCACCTACACCCACATTTAACAAGCATCCAAACAGTGATTCTGATGTATGTCCAGGTTTGGGAAACTTTCTTTTAAAACAAACAAACAAACAAACAAACAAGAATTCTGCTTGATAATTAACACATGCAATCTAGCACTGACGTGGCTATGATCGCTGACACAGGACCATGTTTTCCAGGATGCTAAAGTGACTGATTTTTGAAAAGCTATTTGGGTTTGCCGCGCAAGTGGCATGCAGCACTCCCCCAGGAAGTCATGGCTAGCTGTCTTGCAGGCAGTGAGAGCAGCTAGTTCAAGGTCTTCTGTCTGGAGACTGTTCCCTGGTGCTGCAAACTAAATAAAGCTGGAGCTAATTGCCGAGCTCTAGTCCTGGAGCAGAAAACCACAGCACCGGCTTTGTCTGGAGCTGGATCTCCATGATCATACCCCGTAAGAAGCTGGGTCAGTATTCCTCTCTCTATTTCTGCACTCTGTGGACTGCAGGTCATGGTCTTCTGTAGGCAAAGCGAGTTGACACGTCTTATCCAATCATTTCAAGGTACTCAGTAGAATGACTTTGCATTTGTTGAACCCTGAAGTCCTCAGGAAGATGACCAATTTTGAGTTTTGGCAGGTTGTGAGGTGGCTCACGCCGGCAATGGCAGCACTTTGAGGCTCGGGGAGGCCGAGGCAGGTGAATCCCTTGAGCTCAAGAGTTTAAGACCAGCCTGGCCCACATAACCTGCCAACCTTGCTTCTACAAAAATAATAATAAAAAAAATAGCCAGGCATGGTTACATGCTGCTGTAGTCTCAGTTACTCGGGAG